GACGTCATACAAGAACCAATAAACGACTGTACGTGGGTGATGACGTAGTTGTTAATGAATTGAAGACAACCGTACGTCAGTGTGGTTGAAATACCCAATATACAGTATTCCTGGACCTGTGACCTCATGATCGATGAACCAATAGCGAAGAGCTGAATAATAGCGTTCGCCATTGAGCCAATAGCGAGCGTGAACAGGGTGATAACATCAAAAATGGCCAATAGATATACCGTGAATGCCTGATGACCTCATGATCGATGGGCCAATAGAAAGGCGGAAAATAATTGATGATGTAGACATGAAATATATAAACATGCAAGACGGAGAGAAGTGATTAGCTAACAAGTTGAATATTATAAGTTTGAAATATTGTTAAGACGAATCAAAACAAAGATTAATTAATATTTTTTTTCGAAAAGTGTGTTAGGATAGGTTAGGTCTCTTGTGTACATGCCCTATCTACCGTCTGTCTGTCTGTCTGTCTGTCTGTCTGCTTGTCTATCTATGTCTATCTTCTGTCTGTGGTTTTTCAGTTAGTCTCCCTCTGTGTGTGTGTGTGTGTGTGTGTGTGTGTGTGTGTGTGTGTGTGTGTCAGTCAAAGTCGCTCCTATATTTTATTTTCACCAGAGATAGAAAATATGTCGACACAACAAACTCTCTCTCTCCTCTCTCTCTCTCTCTCTCTCTCTTCTCTCTCTCTCTCTCTCTCTCTCTCTGGGGAGGGGTGACGCCTGCTGCACTCACCAGGTCCCAGTGAGATAGGACCTAGCACGGGGTGGATATTCGGTGGTGACGTCAGATAATCAGGTAACGCATATATGGAGCTGGAATAAAAGAGAGAGAGAGAGAGAGAGTGTGTGTGTGTGTGCACATATATAATTACCCACCATTACACAAACAACTGATGGTAAGGTAATTTAATGGCAGACTGAAGTAATCTGATTGGTGTGGATTTTCTCTGATTGGCTAGGACCTTACCTGATTGGTCAATAATCGACTTATACTGATAGATGGATTTTTTCACTGCTTCATTGATTATAGTTTTTTAAAATATTTAAGAGATGAATCTGGCAGCCGCATGACAGAGAGACACCCGGACGCTGACTGTAAAAATCAATACCGTTCACCCCGCCTTTATTACTATCTCTCTGTCTCTATCTCTTACTGTCTCTATCTCTTATTACTGTCTTTATCTCTTAGTCTCTATTCCTTTATTACTATCTCTGTCTCTATCTCTCTTTTACTGTCTTTATTCTTACTGCCTCTATCTCCCTTATTACTATCTCTGTCTCTATCTCTTATTACTGTCTTTATCTCTCTTACTGTCTCTATCTCCTTATTACTATCTCTCTCTATCTCTTTATTACTGTCTTTATCTCTTACTGTCTCTATCTCCCTTTATTATCTCTGTCTCATCTCTCTTACTGTCTCTCTATCTCCCTTTATTACTATCTCTCTGTCTCTATCTCTCTTTATTACTGTCTTATCTCTTTACTGTCTCTCATCTCCCTTTATTACTATCTCTGTCTCTATCTCTCTTTATTACTGTCTTTATCTCTTACTGTCTCTCTATCTCCCTATTACTATCTCTGTCTCTATCTCTTTATTACTGTCTTTATCTCTTACTGTCTTCATCCTTTATTACTATCTCTGTCTCTCTATCTCTCTTATTACTGTCTTTATCTCTCTTACTGTCTCTATCTCCTATACTATCTCTGTCTCTCATCTCTTATTACTGTCTTTATCTCTCCTTACTGTCTCTATCTCCTTTATTACTATCCCTGTCTCTATCTCTCTTACTGCCTCTCTATCTCCCTTTATTTTCATCTCTCTGTCTCTATCTCTCTTTATTACTGTCTTTATCTCTTTACTGTCTCTCTATCTCCCTTTATTACTATCTCTGTCTCTCTATCTCTCTTTATTACTGTCTTTATCTCTCTTACTGTCTCTCTCATCTCCCTTATTACTATCTCTGTCTCTCGATCTCTTTTATTACTGTCTTTATCTCTCTTACTGCTCTCATCTCCTTTATTACTATCTCTGTCTCTATATCTCTTTATTACTTCTCTTATCTCTTACTGTCTCTATCTCCTTTATTACTATCTCTGTCTCTCTCTATCTCTTTATTACTGTCTTTATCTCTCTTACTGTCTCTATCTCCCTTTATTACCATTCCTGTCTCTCTATCTCTCTTTATTACTGTCTTTATCTCTTACTGTCTCTCTCTATCTCCCTTTATTACTATCTCTGTCTCTATCTCTCTTTATTACTGTCTTTATCTCTCTTACTGTCTCTCTATCTCCCTTTATTACTATCTCTGTCTCTCTATCTCTCTTTATTACTGTCTATCTCTCTTACTGTCTCTCATCTCCCTTTATTACTATCTCTCTGTCTCTATCTCTTTTATTACTGTCTTATCTCTCTACTGTCTCTATCTCCCTTTATTACTATCTCTGTCTCTCATCTCTTTATTACTGTCTTTTATCTCTTACTGTCTCTTCATCTCCCTTTATTACTATCTCTGTCTTCATCTCTTATTACTGTCTTATCTCTCTACTGTCTTCATCTCCCTTTATTACTATCTCTGTCTCTATCTCTCTTTATTACTGTCTTTATCTCTCTTACTGCTTTATCTCCTTTATTACTATCTCTGTCTCTATCTCTCTTTATTACTGCTCTATCTCTTTACTGTCTCTCATCTCCCTTTATTACTATCTCTGTCTCCCCATCTCTCTCTTTATTACTGTCTTTATCTCTCTTACTGTCTCTCTCATCTCCCTTTATTACCATCTCTCTGTCTCTCTATCTCTTTATTACTGTCTTTATCTCTCTTACTGTCTCTCTCTCTCATCTCTTTATTATTGTCTCTGTCTCTCTATCTTTTTATCCCCGTCTCTATTTCATCATCCCCTGCCCTCTATCTCCATCTTTATTACTGTCTCTCACCATCCACACCAATCATCATCTTTACTCTCTATCGCTTTATTTTTTTTTAGTTTACTTATTTTAATCGTTTTATTTCTTATGATTTTTTTAGATGAATAATTTTATTTTATTTTTTTTACTTTTTTACTTTTATATTTGCTTATTTTTTTTATTGTGTTAATTTTTATTGATTTTTATCTTATTTATTTCATACGTAAATTCTTTTTAATATTATTATTTTTTGCAAGACTAGATAGATAGATAGATAGAAGGATAGACATAGATAGATAGATTATAGAGACAGACAGGTAAATACATCGTCTGATATTTTTAATAATAAAAACAACAACAACAACAACAACAACAACAAATAAATAATAATAAAATAAATAAATAATAATAATAATAATAATAATAATAATAATAATAATAATAATAATGATAATAACATTAACAATAATAATAATAATAATAATAATAATATTAATAATAATAATAATAATAACAATAACAATAGTCACAATAATAATAACAACAATAAACAGTAATAATAATAATAATAACAATAACAATAATATGCACTAATACCAGTATCCAGTAGTCATAACGCTGTATAATTACGTATCATTCACCCACAATGACCACTAATTACAGACCAGCACAGGGTCATCAATACACTGCCCGCCTCAACTGTTATTGCAATCACATAAAAAAAAGGTTATTTATTTTCATTCAAAGAGATTTATTTATTTTTTGCAGTGTCATCATGACTTGCAGAATATAAACTGTGATGTTGAGTGGTGAAATAATGTAGTAATGATGATGATGATGATGATGATGATGATGATGATGATAATAATATGATTCGCTATTCCCTTATGCCATTGACTATTGTGATTGGTTGGTGATTGAATCTTCTCCAATCAAAACCACAGTAACACAACCAATCACGTAAAGACTTGGGTTTCTTGTATGATATGGTATTGGCTATTCACCTATTCCAAATCACCCAATCACGGCAGCGATTGTATGAGAGGTGAATTATATACTCAAATCACACACACACACACACACACACACACACACACACACACACACACACACACACACACACACATATCTGATATCATTCGTTCTGTCTAGTAATTGTCTAGTTGGCAACATTTGTATTGTCCAGTAATTAGCTAACTGGTAATACTCATTCTGCCCAGTAATTGGCTAGCTGGCAACTCCTCCTGTTCAGTGATTGGTCAGCGGGCATCTCTTCCCATCCAGTAAGTGACTAGGTGGCAACCTGTCTTCGGATCAGCTGGACGATCAAAACAAATTGAGTTTTTTTCCTTCACTGTAAATTATTTCCCATTTGTGTTCTATACATTTCCTGATTATATTTTCTGTTTTTTGTTTTGTTAATTTTTTGTGTATTTCAATGTGTGATTATTATTGTTGTTGTTGTTGTTATTATTATTATTAGTGTTGTTGTTATCTTATTTGTTTATTTTTTAACCATTTTAACATTATATTGTCACATGTGTACTGTCTGTGTCTTTTTCCCCCACAAACTTTTCATAGCTCTCCTCCTCCCCCGGCTTATCGATAGTCCAGATTATCGGTAGTCCGGCTTATCGATAGTCTGGCTTATCGAGAATCCGGCATATCGATAGTCCAGCTTATCTGTAGTCCGCATGTTGAAGTCCGGCATGTCAATAGTCCGGCATATCTATAGTCCGGCATATCGAGAGTCCAGCTTATCTGGTAGTCCGGCTTATCTGTAGTCCGGCATATCTTAAGTCCGGTTTATCGGTAGTCCGGCTTATCGAATCCGGCACTTGATACGCCATTTAGGTACAGTCAGCCAAAGATGCATTAACCCCTACCTTGGCTCTCTTAATGTTAATTTTACCTGGTGAATAGGAAGGCTGTCTGTAATGGTGTTTGTGATTGGTGGATCTATTTTCTTCATTATTTAAGTACGGGGGTTTGGAAACTTCTCTCTCCCTCTCATAGACCTCTCACTAACCTCCTATCATCACCCCTACACATCTAACTCTCTCTCTCTCTCTCTTCCCCTTCAGAGTGCACACTACCCCCGTTATGGCATGACGGCTGGTTTCACTCGGGATTCGAAGGCCCAGTTACTATTAATGAAGACAGCATCAGTTTCAAGGGCGTCTGTATCAAGAAAGACGCCGACCGATACCTCCTCAAAGACAAGTAAGTAATACAGGGTGTGTGTGTGTGTGTGTGTGTGTGTGTGTGTGTGTGTGTGTGTGTGTGTCGCCTCAGTAGCTGCCTCATGAACGATATGTATGCGTGTGTAGAGTCTTGTATTATTTCAGTAGACTTGTTACACACCCGTTGTATGTCTGTGTATGATCGATGCCTCATGCAAGACTGAGCGCCGCACTCGTATATGCGTTGTATGATCCTGTGCAGTCGTGTTGCCCTTGTGTATCAATACACCCTTGTTACACGTATACATGTTTGTGTATGACTGTCTGGCGTACATGACTGTGTATGTTAGTGCGTGAACGTGTATGGCTGTATGTGCGTGTGTGAACATGTATGACTGCAATGTTAAATAGATTGATTGATAGATATGAACATACATAAAAAATACATACAAACATACATACATACATACATACATACATACAGTCTCATTTCCGTTTAAACCAATAAAATAACAAAGTAACTTAATCAACAAAGAACAAAAGCCAAACCTCAATAACGAAAAATAACAATAACGAAATAGTGAGTAAAAAAAAATAAATAAATAACGAAATATATTGGAAAACGGGAAATTAAATCAAGATGAAAGAAAACGGAGCCACGAGAGAAAACTGTTAGGGGGTAATTAATGTAATCAACCACTTGCTAACCACATTGAAACAACCAAATGAAAAAAAAAGCGATTTGACGTAGATGTGTGGAAATGTGTATGTAAAATGTGTATGTGTGGAAATGTGTATGTAAAATGTGTATGTGTGGAAATGTGTATGTAAAATGTATGTGTGGAAATGTGTATGTAAAATGTGTATGTGTGGAAATGTGTATGTAAAATGTGTATGTGTGGAAATGTGTATGTAAAATGTGTATGTGTGGAAATGTATATAGATGTGAAATATATACAGTATTTAGAAATATATGTAAATACTGTATGTTTTAATACATGGTATACTGTATATGCAATTAATACAGTGTATGGATAAATATTAATCCTTTGACTAATTGAGACAACATTATGATAGATTGTGTGTACTGTATATATGTGTGTGTGTGTGTGTGTGTGTGTGTGTGTGTGGTGAAAGATCATAGATTGGTTGGTCAATATTTAAGTAACTTTTTGTGCATATTTTAATTTATTTTATTTTTTAATATTTTAATTTTCTCATTTATTCATTTTTATTTTTGTTATTAATTTTATCTATTCTTTCATTATCATCTTTACTCTATTTTGTTGTTGTTTATTGTTATTTGTTGTTGTTTGTTGTAGTTGTAGTGGTTGTTAGGTGTTTACAGACCTGTTGACGTCACTCTTTGTTTATACTGGTGACGTCACTCTTCGTAGTAGTGGTGACGTCACGGTTTGTTTACATTGATGATTTTATAATCGTTTTGTCCTAATTGATTACGTCATAGTTGTGTATATACTGTATGATAAATGCTGGGAATGATAGTATATTGATTACGTCACAATGACCATCTTAATTAACGATGTTGTAGTTTATTGATGCATGTGACGTCATAAGTACTGCAGTGTTTATCGCCCGCCCAGTACAGTAAGTGTGTGTGTGTGTGTGTGTGTGTGTGTGTGTGTGTGTGTGTGTGTGTGTGTGTGTGTGTGTGTGTGGAATAACTTTATCTCCATAAATGACAACAGCAGAAAAAATAGCTACAATTGAGTTTAGTAAATTTTAGAATATGTTGCGTCACTGATTGCAAATTGAGAATCTATATTAGTGAAAAAAAAAGCTCTCATTTGATTTTGGTGTTGATGGTACTGGTGTTGTCTCTCTGGTAATGTACGGTAATAGAAATACTAAAATTAATTAATTATTCTTTTATTGTTTTATTTTTACACTAACTGAATAATAAAACCCATTTTAAAAGACTTTGGTAATATCCGGAGGAATTCTTGTTCCAGCTGGCGGCCAAGATTTTTTTTTATGTGATGTAGAAATATGTCAGTTTTTCTTCGCGTAAATAAAACGCCCCGGCATCCACTACACATGTTGGACTATATATATATTAAAAAATAAAAGATAAAAATAAAATATTATGAACACGAAAAAGACAGCGAAAATGGCTGGCGGGGAAATAATTCTGAATTTCATATCGTTCCAACACTTCATTTCAATTTCGGTGCAAATGTATTAAAGATGAAGTGTGCGTCGCGCGGCTCAGTCACCCGCCAGCCCTGCCTCATACCGCACGCTGCCCTGCCTCACACTCACACCACACACCTCACGCACACTGCCCTGCCTGCCTTCCTCCTCGCACCACACCTTGCCTCCACCGCACACTGCCCTGCCTCACACTGCCCTGCCTCACACTCACACCACACCCTGCCTCACACCGCACACTGCCCTGCCTCACACTCACCACACCTGCCTCACACCGCACGCTGCCCTGCCTCACATCCTAAGGGGCGGGAGGAGGAGGAGGAGGAGGATGAGATGTAGAGGAGGAAGAAGGAAGTGAGGTATAGAAGAGGAGGGGGTGACGGGAGGAAGGAGGAGGAGGAAAGGAAGAGGAGCGGGAACTGGGGAAGTGAGAGAAAGAAGGGAGGAGGAGGAGATGAAAGGGTGAGAAGAAATAACTAGATAAAATAATAAATAAAATGAATAATGATCGAATAAAATAAACTAATGGACACACAGACAGACACAGACAGACAGACACAGACAGACAGACAGACACACAGACACACAGACAGACACACACAGCAGACGACAACAGACAGACAACGACACACAGACAGACACACAGACAGACACACACACACAGACACAGACAGACACACAGACAGACAGACACAGACAGACAGACAGACAGACACACAGACAGACAGACAGACACACAGACACACAGACAGACAGACAGACAGACAGACCTGAACACTTAACACACACAACACATACACCTGAAATTTTATAATAACTAATAATATACACATTAATTAAGAGCTATTTATTACCCACAGGTGATAATTCAGGTGTGTGTGTGTGTGTGTGTGGAGAGACATATGTATACACCTGAAATATGTATAGTTTATGTATATATATGTGTGTTGGTGTTATGTATAGCCCTAACTAATGTGTATAGTGTTGTATAATAAAAAAAAAACCAATTCCTGATTTATTGTTGTGTTATAATTATGATGCAGTTATTGTATTATGTACTGAGGGTTCGGGGTGTCGGGAGTCGGGTTCGGGGTATCGGGAGTCGGGTTCGGGGTATGGGAGTCGGGTTCGGGGTATCAGGAGTCAGGTTCAGGTGTCGGGATCGGATTCGGGAGTTGGGATTTGGTTATACAGACATACACAGACAGACACAGACAAATAGACAACACAGACAGACCACAGACAGACACAGACACATAGTAGGTAACAGGTGAGGGTAAGGTGAGGAGGGAATAAAAATCAATATATAGATTTGAGGAAATTATTTTAAAATTTGGCACCAATGAGGAGAGTGAGATAGGGGGGTGAGGGAGAGATAGGGAGTGAGGATGGGGAAGTGAGAGATGGGGGAGTGAGGAGAGATAGGTGAGTAGTAGAGAGAGAAAGAAAAAAAGAAAGAGAAAGAAAGAACTAAAATCACCCCAAAAAAACTCCTCACCCTCCCCTCCCCCGTTCCGTTCCGTTCCGTTCGTCCGCCTCAGATGGGAAGAAAATAGGGCAGAAGTAGGGAAAGTTGGCGGGGACCTGAACGTGGATTGAAGGGCTGGAACGACGGCCAACGACCTAAACTTTGGCTAGGTCTGGCCTAAACTTTGACTAGGTCTGGGCTAAACTTTGGCTAGGTCTGGCCTAAACTTTGACTATTGCGGGCTGGGAGGCATCCTGGGTATAATTGTTCTTTGCCGACCCCTAAGAGAAGTGTATGGTGTAGAGGTGTATGGTAGGTGGTGTAATGGTGTATGGTGGGTGGTGTGGTAGGTGTATGGTGTATGGTGTATGTGGTGGGTGGTGTATGGTGGGTGGTGTATGGTAGGTGGTGTATGGTAGGTGTATGGTGTATGTGGTGGTGTGTGGTGGGTGGTGTATGGTGGGTGGTGTATGGTGGGTTGGTGTGGTGTGGTGGGTGTGGTGGGTTGTGGGTTGGTGGTTGGTTGGTTAGTTGTGGTTAGTTGGTGTGGTTGGTTGTGTGTGGTGGGTTGTGTGGTGTGGTGGGTGTGTGGTGGTGTGTGGTTGGTTGTGTGGTGGGTGTGTGGTGGGTGGGGGTGTGTGGTGGGTTGTGTGGTGTGTGGTGGGTGGTGTGTGGTGGGTGGGTTGTGTGGTTGGGTGGTGTGTGGTGGGTGTGTGGTAGGTGGTGTATGGTGTGTGTGGTGTATGGTGGTGGTGTATGGTGGGTGTGTGGTTGGTGTGGTGGGTGGTGTATAGTTGGGTTATGGTGGGTGGTGTGGTGGGTGTGTGGTGGGTTGGTGTGGTTGGTTGGTTGTGTGGTTGGTTGGTTGTTGTGGTTGGTGTATGGTGGTGTGGTTGTATGGTGTTGTTGGGTGGTGGTATGGTGGGTTGTTTGTGTTGGTTTTGTGGGTGGGTTTGGTTATGGTGGGTGGTTATTGTGGTTGGTTGTGTTGGGTGGGGTGTGTTGGTTGTGTGGGGTTGGTTGGTGTGTGGTTGGTGGGTGTGGTGTGGTGGGTGGTGTATGGTGGGTGGTTGTGTGGTAGTTGGTTGGTGTGGTGGGTGGTGTGTGGTGGGTTGGTTGTTATGGTTGGTTGGTGTGTGGTTGGTTGGTTGTATGGTTGGTTGGTTGTGTGGTTGGTTGGTTGTGTGGTGGGTGTGGTTGTGTGGTGGGTGTTGTTGTAGTTGGTTGGTTGTGGTTGGTTGTTTGGGTTGGGTTGATTGTGTGGTTGGGTTATTGTGGTGGGTGGTTGTGGTGGGTGTGTAGTTGTGTGGTGGGTGGTTGTGTGTGGTGGGTGGTTGTGTGGTGGGTGGTTGTGTGGTGGGTGGTTGGTGGGGTTGTGTGTGGGTGGTTGTTGTGGTTGT